CTCGTAATTCGATATCGATGATTCAAGGCTCGATAATAATGAAACGTGTAACAATTCATCAACACTATCGAAAGACATTTTTACATTTTTGTTTCTTTTTCTTTTTCTTTCTTTTTTTTTTTTTTTATTTTTTACCTTTTATTTTTATCCTTTTTCCTCCTGTACTTGATGTTGCATCCTGTCAAGCTGACTGGACGAATTGCATTTTTCTTCCTGTTTTCCTTTTCTTTTTTTTTTTCCTCTTTCTTTTTTATTTTCTTTTCCTGCCATAAAAAGTAAATATTATACTCGTCGTCCACAGGAGTGTGCTCGACTTTTTCGTTTTTCCTTCTGCCATTCCACTTACTTTTCATGTTTCATTCTCAAACTTGTTTCACATCGAAATGAAAAAACAAAAAAAAAAAAAAAACAAGTGTTTAACTTTTCAACATTTCGACATTTACGAAAACGTTCACACACACGTTTCTTTTTCTTCTTACTCCTTTTTATTTATTTGTTTTTTCTTTTTCTTTTTTTTTTTTTTTACATTTTTTATCGATTCAATGGCGACGCTTGTAAATTATCGTTCGTATCGATATGTTTGTTTGCTTTTGTAACTCGTCGATTTTTATAGGGCTTTGATTGAACAAACTTCGTAATTATTGTGACATCGAGATAAACTAGTGAAAAAAAAAAAAGAACTCGAGAGATATCTAATCTCACGATCGATCGATATTGAATTAACCAATAGCATTCGTTTTAACAAAGATTTATCATCAAATAATCTCACATCTTTTCTTTCGCAAGTATTCAACACGAAATGAAAAGTAAAATAATGAAAAATTCAATGAATTCATATGTTAAACAAATTCAAATATATTTGAAATAAATAAATGAATGCATTTCTATTACAATCATTGATATTTATAATAATCTTTTAAATTAAATCACTCACAATATAATATCACTCGTTCTACATTCAATATTTTATTTATTAATTTATTATTAGTTTCAATATTTAATTTCTATTTTATATTTTAATTTCTATTTATATATATATATACAAATATATATATATATATACAAATATATTATATATATATATATATATATATATTTGTAATTGTGATTGTTTTTTTGGCATTAAAGAAAAAAAAAAGTGATCATAAAAACAATACTCCCATTATATTCTATATTTTTCATTCTTTTCTTTTTCATGAATTAATCGTATGTTTCAGAATATTATATAAAACATCGTTTCGAGTTTGTAGTATACAGAGGTATCAATTATGCCACCCTCAGTTAGCAGAGGGTACGTGACACCCTTTAGCACCTCGTAACTGGAGATTGTAAGCAGAGAACCGAGGAAGCAAACTAACCAACGTCGTCAACCAACCCTACATGGTTTTAATCGCACGTCCTATGAAACGAACATTGGTGTCGCGCGTCATCTGCTACGGACAAATGTTAAGGTCAGATATATTAAACTATGAAACGAATGCAATTTCGTCTACCGTTACTACTTCATCTTTAATCGTCCATTTTCCTCACTTCGTAACGAGCTTGAGTGGACAGCTGTCCTTTCTAAATGAAGACGATTTGGATGTTATATTAACGAGCTTACTCTCTATCCCCTGTTATTATACTTTTCTTTATGGTTTATGCAAATTCGTGAATAATAGTTTTGCAAGAAATTGGCAATGTATACGACGAGACTTTTATTCACATTTATTTCATATATTTTTTTTTTTTTTTTGCAGTTATCTTAATGTGATACAAATTTTCAATTTAAAATTGTCATATTTTTAATTGATTTCTTTTATAATTAACACGTTGCATTGATATTTAACTTTTCATTATCGCACTTTCTATCGCAATATCGACGAAGTAATATAAAATTATAATTCTATCGAGATTGAACAATAATTTCTCCCTTCTTCGTTTTGTTTCCGTAAAACCATGAAAGAAATGAATGTCATGTGATGCGATAAAGCGAGATTAATGACATTCGAGAATAGGATAAAAGGATTGTCGATATCAAGAAAGAGTAACGAGAAAGTAAATGCGATTGACTAGAGTTTCAAAAGAATGACTTTATTAGAATATGTAATTCGATTTTATTTCTTTGAACGATAGTAAGATATCTTTCTTACGAATAAATTCTATTATAACCTAACTTTTGTGGTTTATCTTGAATTCAAAGGAATTCAAAGGAGAATTGATATAAACAATTAAAAATTAAATATTTCAGATCTTCAAATATTATTATTATTATTATTATAAATTTAATTAAATACATTCATTCCCATTTTTCTTACAAATTATTAATTATTTCATATAATATTAATTGACAAAGCTTTCTAAAAGATATTTTAATCGATTCTAATATGAAATTAGAATTAGAATTATTATGAATAGAGAATAAATTTGATAAAAAGGCTAAATTTTGGATGAGAAGTTGACCTAGTAAAATTATTGATGTTCTACAATAATATTGGTCCGTCTAAAATTTTCTTCACGACATTAAGGCATTTTCAAAGAGAGAGAGAGAGAGAGAGAGAGAGAGAGAGAGAGAGAGAGAGAAAGAGAGAGGGATATCAAAAGGTAACCGAGCAATCGATTTGAAGGCTATTGTTCACAACCTTTCTCTCGAAGCTTATATGACTTCAGCGACCTATGAACTACAAACGAGAAATGTGAGAATATTATATCGATATATAAGCTTATATAAGTATATACATTTCTCACGTGCGATCTAACAATCGAGTTAGTTTATAACAGAAATTTTTCAATCTGATAAAATTAGTAAAATAAACAAATAAGATATGCAAATTAAACTTCAATGTAGTTCGATTAATTGCAAAAGTATTTTCAATTAAACTTATCTTATATGTAAAGCTTAATTAATCAATCATTATTAAATCGATATTACTTACGATGGAATGCATATCGTAGAAGAAATGATAGACATTATGTCGAAAGTAATGTCGTATATTAAGGGTTTTATCATGTTTCGTTACTCCTGGAGAATTCAATCGAAGTTTTTGTAATCGAAGTTTATCTAACCGAAAATAAAAAAAAAAAAGATCGTCCTATATTTCACGTAATCGAAAGAGTTTTTGTTTTCCCCATATCAAGATCTATGTTGATAATTTGAAATGATAGATGATTTGAAAATACTAAATATTTATGTTTCTAACAAGATTATAATAAATTCTTTAACAAAAAAAAAAAAGAAAAGAAAGAATAACAAATATTTCTCTTTAATAAAATCTTAGATACATAAAAATAATAATTAATGTTCTATAATTATATCATAATTGAAAAATCTATTACTAGGCTCATTAAATGTTCGTCATTACAACAATTTGTACGACAGTAATTAAATAATATAGAATTAATATTGTCTTATATTTATAATCTAATAACAAATGTGCATCTTAAAGAACAAAAAAAAAAAACGAAAAGAAAAAAAAAGACCGGAATTAAATTCTTTGTACATGTGTGCACTGTTTTTGTGTGTAAAAATGCAACACCTTTTTCGTTGTCTAATGTCTCATCGAAAACAGATATTTTCTAAGAAATTATCTAGGTTAGTATGCCAGTTCACTTCTTAGAATTTATATAGCTTTTATATAGTTATATAGACAGTATTTTATGTAAGTATATAGGTACTGTTTTATATAGATATATAGATAGACGTGTCCGAAGATATATATCAACGTTTTCGTGGTTATTTTTTTATTCCCTATAGTATATTACTATATACATTCAATGTATTACTTCGCTGCATACATGTATCGTTTCAGTTTCTTTTTCTTTTTTTTTTTTTTTGTTTTTATTTTTTTTTTTGTTTTTTTTTATTTTCGATTGGATCGAGCATTTCCGATCCAATTATTATTAAATTATGATACACGTTATTTCGATTGTAAATGACTTATTCTCTCTCTCTCTCTCTCTCTCTCTCTTTCTATATATATATATATATATATATATAGATAGATAAAAATTCGATAATGTATTATTTTTCTCAAATATTTATAATAGAGATGTATCTACGTATATAGAAATATACGTAAATACATAAATCCTTCGAATTATTTGATTTATTAATTATTCATTATTTCGCGCGTAATATAGAAAACATAAGAATGTCCATTTTATATTTTTACATTTTTAAAAAATTTTATTATTTCGTTAGAAAATCATTGTCTATATTTAAAATACGAATTAATTATATTTATCAAGCTTTTGTTATACTCATATATTTTTATTATATGTTTTTATTATTTTCAATTGTGATAAAATTAATATTTGTATTGACTTACGTTGTATACCAACGGTAGTGTTACAGATGTCACTTCGGTTCTTTGTTGATCATCTCATTATTATTTTGGACGTGATAACAAGTGTACACGGTATTACGACGCTCCGCATAATTATAGGTAATTAGCATATTTTTTTCTAACGTATATCCTTTTTCAATATATCAATCTATAGCTGAAAGTGCGATTTTAAAGAGGATACGTTCATAAGTCGAAACATCGTCGCGTTTAAAAGATATTCGTGAAAATAAATTGGAATTAATGCGTCGTATTTCTTTTTTTTTCTTTTTTTCTTTTTTTCTATTTTCCAGCTTTATTTTCACAATATCGATACTTATCTCATTTTTTAACGATACTTCGTACGAGTAATTTTGCATTAATAGTTGTGATCGATCGATATTTTGCATTATATTCGATTTTCATATATGATCATATATATTTATATATACATATATATATATACATGTGTATACCACATACACATATGTATATATTCCCTACACATACATACACACACACACAAACTTTTAATATTATCCTGTGCTAATATGATCATATATTTTTAAATTTCCAAAAATTTCATAAGCTAAAATAATATCACTTAGAAACCAATTTTATACGTGTATTTTCTCATTGTATATAGACAAGCATGTTCTTTGTTTCTTAATATATAGAATGAGACTTTTAATAGAGAGAGAGAGAGAGAGAAAGAGAGAGAGATAAGTAACATTCGGCATGGAATCGTGTAGTAATTATATACTTCTGAGAAATTTATCGATCGAAAACAAAAGAAAGTCGAACAAAAGAAAGATATCTTTATATTCTTTATTCCGTATTTCATCAATTATAAATGGCAACTATTGAGAGAATGTTATTAGCTTCGATTAAGGCTCATAATCAAGAGCGTGAAACAATTGAAAGATCTGTATAGTCGTTTTAGCCATTAGATGTTTTAGAAAATATATTACGTAAAACTTTAACTTTATGCCGATGATGACGAGTACGACGAGGAACCGAAGAAGACCGAAAAGGACCGACGACGCTCGAAGAAGGCGAACAATGACGGTAACGACGACAGCGGCCGAAGATGGCCGACAGTTGTCGTAGTGTCGTCGTCGCCTTCGTTATTGGTCTTATTAAAATTTTATTTGATAAAAATAAAATGATAAATTTAATTAGCTTTACTTCAGAAACGTTTACTTCGAGTATACTCGAGTAAAATTAAATAGTAGATTATAAAAGAAATGAATTATTAATCTTATAATGTTTAAACATTTATATTAGGAATGAATCTGGATATAAGTGATTGATCGATTTTAATGAAGAAAATCTATGATATTATAGAGATAAAGATTTCCACGTGATAATGGCCTTTACAAGATTTTTTTTTTTTTTTTTTTTTTTTAAATTGATTATAATATCGTTTAAGACAAGATCATAGAATATAAATAGTAATATAGATCGTAATTTTAGGTTAAGAGATTTCAATAATATAATTTCTTATGAAATATATGTACTGAAGTATACTGCAGCTTGTTTGTTGTTTTTAAATGAATATTGCATTGTTTGATCGTTTCCTTTAATCGATTTTTTTTATTTACTTTTATATTTAACATTTCTTCGATTGAAATCGCGAGCAATGCGATTGGTAAAATCATTGTTCGTTTTCGAAATGTTTCTATTTTTTGAATTGTTTAAAAGAAAAATATTTCTTATAATTGAAAGTGCGAATTTACCTGATACAAAATTGTTCCTATGGATTTTCTTTATCAATGTATTTGAAGCTCTATCGATAAATCATTATTATATACGTAAATATTTTTCTTTTATCAGAATATTACTTCTCGTTCATCAAAAAGATACAAATTATTACGAAGATAATAATAATAAGATTAAGAAGATACTTTTCGTAATAAGAACCATGATCATTATTTTGATATAATGATCATTGATACGTCGTATTTAATTTCAGTATATTGATTAACGAAATATTTTCGAATTAGTATCGGAATGAAATATTAAAAAAGAAAAAAAAAAAAAATAAAAAAAAAAGATGATTAAAGGGCTTCTTCCCTTTCGACGTTTAATCGATTGGATAGATCCATAGATTTTTATCTGATGCTAATTGATTCGGTTAATTTTTTCTCTCTTTTTCCTTCTTTTTTTTTTTTTTATATATTTTAATTAAAGTAATTTATTATAAAGTAATTTCATTCAAGTAATATTAGAATCTTAGTTCGTTTATCACCGCACGCAGCGATGTCTAAGCGGTAAGACTTGGGGGTAATCGATATTAATTACGCTTAAAATCATCTATCGTAAAATGTAACGCAAGTATTATCAAATTAATGCTTGCGTTTAATTTCCATTAGAGTTCGCACGTTTTCAGATTTTTTTCTTCTTGTCCTTCTAATATATTTCTAATTATCAAGTGAAGGAATATGAATATCGATAATCATTATGATAAAATATATTTTATTTCGATAATTGAATATAAGTAAGATCGTAAGAATTAATTATAAAATATTTTTAATTGTATTAATATATAAGTTATGCAATAAACAAAATACTTATTATATTAGATATTAGATATAAAATGTTTTTTAATTCTAATATTAAAGAATTTTTGTTTGAAGAATATATGGAGCTTTGAATTATAAGAATAATTTATTCTATGACGTTCTATTCTCTAATTTCTAAATCTAATTTTAGAATATCCTTAGATATATGATTCAGTTGGTCGAGTATTTGTAAATTGTAAGTGAAATGAATGAATGAGATTTATGAATGAGATCTGTAAATGAGAGAAATAGATGAGATAAATGAATGGGATGTCTGAGTAAGATAAGAAAATGAAATGAATGATTGAAATAAGCGAATGACAGGGCTAATGAGATTTTCATACATTGCAATAATGTTTATTGTTTATGTTAACAACAATGTAGAATAATTACATTCGTATTATTTCATTTTTATGCATTAATCATATAACATACATTACTAAACAATATTTTAATATTAAATATAGTTCGTATTAAAACCATCAATATTAATCGATCAATTTTTTTTTTTTTTTTGGAAATTACGAACGACATCATTGTCGTCATGTTTCGCAATAGTATTGTTTGAATTAATTTTTAACGTAATAATTTATTAATCAATATTTATTTAGAATTTCAAATAGAATTGAAAAGATTTCATTTCTATTGGAAGTTATAACAACGATAAAGCTTTTAGTGATAGTAATCTCATAAGGTATTCAATGGCAATGGTATCTAATGACTAATCGTATCGGAGTTTCGTGTAACCCGTTAACTAATTTTGAATGCGTCTATAGGGAAATCTAAAAGCTACGTTTAAATTGTTACTAATCAGAAGAAATGTGTGTTTTAAGATAATATATATTGTCTGATAAAAATTACATT